ATTTTTAATTTAATAATTTAAATTATATAATTGAAACTGTTGACAATATTTATCATAAAAAAATAATGATAAATAAAATAAAATTTTAAAATTAATAACATAACATAAATCATGTTATTTGAACTGTTTCTTTGAATTTAATAATTCATTTTCAAGTTTAAATGCTTGGTCCTACTTAGTCGAAAGTTCGATTCCACCAATTATTTAAAAAATTTCTCCTTTCATCATAATTCTTTATGTTAAAAAAAAATGTTATTTAAATATTAAATAATAAATTTTATATTATTTAATAATTAACTCTTTATTTTTTAAAACTTGTGATATTATACGTATCAATTAATTTAATTTTTTTATATTAACTTACATTAAATTTTGATTAATTTAAAATCAAGTTGTATTTCATAAAAAAAAAATTCTTTGAACACTTATTTATCTATTTATAAAATTTGAATTCAACAATTTACATAAAGAAGATGAAACTCTTTCCATTCAAACTAATAAATATTAATATTAATTAATTTAATAATATAATATAGGTTAGTCATTGATCCTAAATTTCTCTTTCAAATTTTCATCCTCCCTATAATTACTACATAAAAAATTTAGGGTGGGCAATACTTTTTTCCTCTTCTGATTCTCTTATAGTAATTTTCTGGTTTAAATTTATTTTCCTATGTCATCGATGTAATACTACGAAATTTGGATAAATTCAAAAAGAAAAATGATTAAGAGCATGTTTGAATTAACTTATAAGGATTTTTATTTTTTTTCATATTGTTTATGAATAATAAATTTAAATTTATATTAAAAAAAATTTTAAAGTTATTTTTAAAAATAAAAAAAAGTTTAAAAAAAAGTTAAAAAATTTATAAAAAGTAATAAAATTTTACTGTTTAGATCTTTTTAAAATTAATTTTTTTTAAAAAAAATATAAATTTTAAAAATAAATTAAATTTATAAAATATAAATTATATCAAAAATCTTAAACTTCTACAAATTAACTCAAACATATCTTAAATTAAATAAAAAAAGCCTAATAGTTGTCCGCGTATTTTATTAATTTTGTTTATCCCGTTTTTCCCCTTTCCTCTTTTTAATTACTACCATGTAGATGCCAATCATCTTGTGCGGACAAACAAACGGCCATTTAAGGCGTCGTCGAAGCCGACGTAACGGCAATTAACGGTGTTGACGGGAGGGATAGCCGGCGTCGACGAGTTCGCCGCGATCTGGTTCACCACTCTCCGGTACGGTCCGAGCCACTTGTTTTGCATGTACCCATTTTTTCGCCAAGGAGGCAGCGACAGCTCTCTGCTCTTGAGCGAATTCATCGCCGAATTGCTCATTACCTTCACGATCTTCTTCAATTCGTCGGTCTTCCCGACGAAAACTCGAGGTAGAGACTGCAACAGTCTTGAATACTCGCTCGTCGGACGCGCGATCTCGAATTGGGAGGCGAAATCAATGTCGATGAAGTACCGGTTTTGCGATGCGACGGAGATCGATTGTATGACGTCGATGAACTCGTAATTCCCCGCCGCTAAGCCGCCGGAGGAACTCCATTCAGTCTTGCAGATCGCGGCATTGTATCCTAATTCACGAAGAAACGCCGCGATTTTCCTATTAAAAACAGTTTTGTCCGTTTTGAAACAGGATAACACTTCAATTGCTTTCAAAACCTGAGCCAACAGTGATCCCCTGTACGAATCCCGATTGCCGAGCGACGTCGACCGAAGAATAACCTCAAGCGCCTCAGAGCAATCATGGACCGAGTCAACCCGGTCCGAGTCCGAGTCATAGCCAGTCGACTTTCCACGGTGGTCCTCTTCAAAGAAACTATGAACGAGTTCCGATAGACAAGGAAACTCCTCTCCAGAATGTTCGCTTCCACCGCTAACGTAGCTGGGCTCCACTGCCTCCACACCGACGAGTCGAGCCCTGGCCTTGTCATCGAGCAGGCCAGTCACTCTTTTTGTCTTCGTTCTCCCAAATTCCGCCATTAATTATCGCCGCAGCAGGAGGAGACAGCAGGTATGCTTGTCTCACAGTTTCTTCTTCTATCCGTTTTTAATGTACTGCAGTGGTTAGGAAGTTTAGTGGAGCTTTGAAAATGGAGGAGATGCGGAGAAGCTTTATAAAGAAATGGGTTTTGGGGAATTTATTTTGGAATATTCGATTGGATAACTTTGCTAAATTTTAGTTATGCTTTTTGATCATGTTGGGAGTTTAAAAATGGGAGGAATTGAAGAAGAAAGGATATACCGGAATGAACCCGGTTATAGCACAGGGATTTGGAGCATATCCGAGGGCGCCTATGGGTTTATTCGGTTGGAGAGGGTAGTGACGTGGACGGATATGATTTTGGTGGGGGAGGGGCCGGGTGTTCGGATAGGTTGAGGTTGAGATGGAGAAGACCAAATAATTGGATGATATTATTGGGGTTTTTTTTTTATTATATATATATATACATTTTCGATCAAGAAAATAATTAGAAGTTAAGAATTAGAGATTAATACATTACTTTTTGATAAGGTTTGATTATTGATCGAAGTGCATTTCACTGATAATCCTTTGGACTGCAATGACATTACTGAGCCACAACAGAGAAATCTTTTTTATTATATTAAATGTTGAGATATACAATAATAAATAATATTTTATTTCTATTTCATGTGCATCTATTTGTAAGTTTAAACTCAAATAGCACATTTTGGTACAGCGGTTTGCATCCTAAGTTAGTATCATTTATTTTGTGTGTTTGAATCTTATGAATTTTTTTTTTTTTTTTAAGTTCACACTCAAAATTTATAATTTAAAATTGTAAGTTCTTTAATAGTTGAGATATTTTTTTAGGTATATAATATTATTATAATAAAATATAATATTATAAATTTACAATATGATAACTTATTTCACTTAAAAATTTATTCATAATATTATATGTATTTATCATTAAATAACACATTATATTTATTTAATAGTACATCATATAAATTTATAATTCTAAGTAATATTACAATTATAATATTATGCAACCAATGACTTGTAAATTTAAATGAAAAGAATTTAATTTCTTTTAATTAAAGTTTGAATTTTAAAAATAAAAAAATAAGTTATGAGAGAGTTTTTTTTTTATAAAATCTAATTTAACTTAATTTTAAATTAATTAAAATTTAATATAACTTTTAGATTAAAGGTTTAAATTAGAAACAAAAAAGGTTTATAGCATTGTCCATTATTGTATAGATCGGCATGGAAAGAGGCGACCCAATGGGAAGAGTGAAGCTTGGAACTCGGAAAGCGTAGTTTTGCTTCTTTTCTCCATTTTGGTAAAGATGGTTTGCCCCTTCGTGAAAGGAAGGGTGAGGGGCAAGTGCGCGACGCGGATCGGGTCTGGATTAATCGGGACGAAACTTCGCATACCAGGCGGGAAATCAAAAAAAAAAGAAAAGAAGAAGAAAAGAAAGGAAGGATGAGGGGCAGGCGTGGGGTGTTGGATTGGGACTAAACGTTGCTTCCAAATTTCAATGAATGTCTCAATTTCTTTCTTTTTGGTATATTTTCTTGCGACAAATATTCTAAATTATAAAACAATAAATATTGGCCAACTAATATTACGGGTTGTTTTTTTTTTTTTAGTAATTTTTATTTTATAGTCCATTGCACCCTAAACTACAAAATAAAAACTTTTTAGTTTGTTTAGAAACCTATTTCTCACACTTGAGTTTGGCTCCAAAAGTACTGTAGAACTCAGGTTTGATTCATGTATGCTTTTTATTGGAAAGATGATCAAGCATTTCTAGAGTAGAACTACTATCAACATTGGCAATCACTTGCCCAAATGAGTCCTTAATGGATGTTTTAATTGTTAAAAGCTTGAGTTTTTACATTGAAAATTTTAAATTTAAATTTTAAAATGAGTTAAGATAAATTTAGAAAAATGAAAGTTATTTTTTATTATATAATATTTTATCTGATATAAAAAAAAAAAAATCACCTGCCCAACTAAGAGGAAAAGAAGTCAAATTCTCTCGACATAAGAAAGGAAAATAACTCTTTAAGAGCTCAAATTTCCTTTTCATAGCCAACATATTATATATTCTCCCCAAAATGAGCTGTACATGGAACAAAATATCTTCTGGCATTTCCTTTGATTCCAAAATAATCCACAGATGATGCAGAAGTAATAAATAATAATAATAATAATAATAATAATAAAGAAAAAGAAAAAGTATGGAACACAGGCCCAAGCCCAAGGGCTACTTCACCACAATGAACTAAAACTCTACACAACCTTTCAATAGTTCAATTTCAAGGAGAGCCACTTCTCAGGTTGTACAAACACAGACTCTTAACAACCTTGAATTTCATGAGAAGTGCAAATGGGTGTTTGGTGCCGCTTGAGCTTTTGTCCTTGAGAAGCTCTTTCAACCAGCTGCACCAAACACCCATTAGCCGTTCTAAAAGATTATGAGAAGATACTTCCTAATAAATTATAATTTTGAACATGAATAACGTAAGGAACTCTATATAAACATCTTCCTCTCTAACATCTTTCTCTTTAATAATCCAAGGTATACCTTTCAAAACAAAAGTTTCACTACCTAAGGTGACAACAAGCTCTCTGAATGGTTTTCAAAGGATTAAAAGGCAAACTTGATCAATTAAGCTTGATGTTAGGGTTTAATTTACATTGAAGAGGAGTTAGGCACAAACTCTATTTTTTTTTCAAATAATATTTATAATTTTAAAAGTTTGTAATCATAGGTCGGTCTTATTAAAATAAAAATAATATAAAATGCTTTTTAGTTTTAGACTTTATTGGTTAAAAAATACAATGGGCCCTACTTGGTTCCACCCTTGCATGATGCTTTGGATATAATTGCATAAGTCTACATATGGAAAAAGTGATTATGATAAAATGAATGACATTTCATGGTTGAATACTGTTTTTTAAGATTTGAAAAGGAGAAATCTGGAGAAATGTTACTGAAAATGCAACGTACATAAGCTATTGATGCAAGAAAGGCAATGCACAGTATCACTTTCTCTTCAACAAATGGATTAATTAGGTGGAGCACCAAAATCAGGAACCAGATAACAAGAAAGGGTGATGTTATGATCCTTAATTATTCTTCACCAACAAAACATGTTGGATCTTAGATGAGTAAAGAAGATACATAAATCGAAAATCAGCATTCCTGAGAAAAAATTGAACCTATTCCCACCATTAACAGGATATCTGAAAACTTATTTATATTGAACCCAAAAGCTGCTTTTAGATAGTACTGCATTAGTATAACCAATGTGTGTTGTTATTTCCTGACCATTTATCTCCCAGAAGGAGCTGTACATGTAACAAAATCTCTTTTGGCATTCTTTTGATTCCAAAATAGCGCACAAATATGCAGAAGTGATAAAAAATAACAATAGAACATAGCTCCAAACCCACGGACAGCTTCACACAATGAACAAAAACTCTAAACAAGCACAGAAGCAACCATCATAAAAGAAAATAAGGATGGATTTAAAAAGCACGGGAAATATTAGTGTCATAATAATCTCTTCAGAATTACAGATTGAAACAAAAATTGTAAGTTTATTTGTCTTAATGTTTTGATGTTAAGGCAGGAAACAACTTTTCATCCATAATGTTGACAGGAGCTGCAGCAGGAGTAGCAGGAACAGTTGCATCATTCTGGACATCAAGTTTCTCACCGTTCTGCCAATTTTTGTTCCTCTCACTGTTAGGCTTGCCAGTAAGCTTCTCCAAATTCTGACCATTATTGTTCCTCTCACCAGTTGGCCTGCCATTAAACTTGTCTCCATTCTGCCTATTGTAGTTCCTTTCACCATTAAGCTTCTCCATGTTCTGCCTATTGTAGTTCCTGTCTCCATTCTGCCTATCATAGTTCCTTTTACCATTATGCCTGCCGTTAAACTTCCCTCCATTCTGAGTATTGTAGTTCCTCTCACCATTAGGCCTGCCATTAAACTCTCCATTCTGCCTATTGTGGTAGTTCCTTGAACCGCTATGCCTCATCCCCTTCTTCTGGCTCTCAGCAAATTTATTGAATTCATCAATGCTCATCGTCTGCCAGGCAATATTAAAATTTATATTAGTGGAAAATATTAGCGCAGAATCTCAAAATCAAAACATCAAAGGAAAAGAGCATCTTTTGGGGAACTAATAGAAATCTTTGCTACGAAGATAACTCAAGATCTTTGTTACCTTGCCATGGTCATCTTTCTTCTTAAGCTTCAACTCAGATTTCTGCTCTTCCTTCTGATCAGGGTTATTTTTCTGTAATGCAATTTAAATATGAGACAGAGAACACAACAATGGAAAAATAAAAATTAACGAATCAGAATTTGGGTAACTAAAAATCATTATGTACCGACCATTTGGACGTCCTCTTTGTTCTTCCCAACAATTTGCATAGACTCAAATTCTTTATCTATTTCAACTTTCCTCTGTTCAGCCCTCATAAGACCTTCCAAAGCCTTCCTCTTTTCAAGCTGGGCTCTCTCATATTGTTGAAGCGTCTTCAACTGCAAGATGAACACAAATGTGTCAACTTTAAGTTTTTTTCTTCCATACTAACAAATTGATCTTAACATTCTTCAAATAAGAAAAAAAAAAAAAAAACCATTGTAATACCTTTCTTTCCTCTTCCCATCTCTTTGCAGCCTCTTGTCTCCTCTTCTTTTCAGCCTCCTCTGCAGATAGAACTTGAACCTTTTTCTTGTTTTTGGATTTCTTCTCAGAAACACTACCATTTTCTTCTCTAAAAATTTGGAAATCAAGTATAAATAAATAAACAATCCACAATTGGAAAAGGAAAATACTATAAATCCCACTTAGCTTCTAGCATTATCACATCGGGATTGCTATTGAAACAAGTTCCAAAAACAACAATTGTTACATATAAGAATTCATAATCTAAGAAGAGTAAAAAGTTAACTTTAAGAACTTACTCTTTAGCACCACTCTCACTCTGGACGGCCTGCTCCTCATCAAGGATCACCTTTTCAGCTGTGTCATCTTCATTCCCACCATTTACAGATTTTACAGATTCTTTTTCATCCACAACATGTTTGTTAGCATCCTTTTCATCCGTGTTATTCCTCTCAGAATTAGTATCCTCTACCTTATTGTCAGCACCACCATCTTCTTTCTGGTTTGAGAACTGTGGCTGGGTGTCCAATCTTTTACGCCCCCAATGTTCCCAACCTTCTTCATCTACATATCTACCCCAAACTTCTTTCTTAGCCTGATAACCATTTTTCACATTGTTTCTCCTATTGTTCCTATGATTGCCATTAAAACCTCTATAATTACCATCATGATTTTGCAAAAAGCCATTAGCTTCTCCATTATTTCTCTGACTAACGTTACCATCACCATTCCCATTATACCTGTCTACCCGTCTATAACCACCCTGATTGCTATTTCCGTCGGCATAAGCAGGCTGAGAATCAACAGTGCCAGCTACATTACTAATATCTGAAACACTAAAACCACCTTTCTCCAATATTGTCAACTTGCCCTTAGCAGAGGCAGGCTGAGAAAACACAACCCCCTCCCCTCCATTACTGTTATCTGGAACGTTGCTCTCACTCGAACCACTGGATTTGTCTTCAGGCTCCAGTTTCTCTTTCTTAAATACAATATTGGATCTCCTCTCTACACAAAGAAACGATCAAAGAAAAAAGATCAGATTTTTTATCCAGAAATCAACTCAAACCAAAAGTAAATCCAATACAAAAAGAGATGAAAATGGTATCTACGTTTTTTCAGCAGCAAAAGTATGAGTTTAATTAGAAATAGGAGGCGTACAAGATGTAAGCCCCACGATTACAATGAAGAGTCCCAGAAGAAACACAACAGAAACAGATAATCCAAAGCAAAACAGAAGAAAACTTTAGCAATCAGACACCAGCAAAATAAGCTATGGAGAAAAGACACCAAGAAACAGCATCCATTATGAAGGGCGGATCGAGCACAGACAGCCATGGATATCAGAAACAAAAGGGTATCTACGTTTAGCAATCAAAAAAAGCGTTGAGATTCAAGCAACAGTTATGTTCCACAAACCATAAAGATTCTCCAAACAAATACAACAATAAAAGATACAGAATTGACAATAAACCATTATGTAACAGAAATCAATAACCCCAACAATCATACCGAGTAAACAAGAAATCAAGACCCACAAAAGAGAGAAAACTGGAAACAATGAAAGAATATATTTTGATTAGAAAATTACCCTGGTAGGGAAGAATGATGCGTTTGGCCCTCATATTAACCGGAGCCCGTACGGATTTCTTCTTCTCTTCCTTCTTTGCTTTCTCCACTTTCTTCCCCGAAGAAGAAAGCTCATTCTCCTCCTTTACGCGGTCGATCAGTTGTGACACATCGTCGGATTCTTCATTGCCCAACAGGGCAAACAAATTGTCCGCTTGGGCCATGAAACGATCAACTAGAGAAAAAAGCAGAAGGAACAAGAAGAAAAAGGAGAGTTTAACCTATCTTAGATTCTCCCCATGTCGAGGGAAGAAGAGAACAGAGGAGGGTTTAGGAGTATGCAGTTGAAGAAGCCGTGGTTATGCAGGACAGCAGGGTTTAGAATATATAATAGGGTGGAGGAGATAGGGTTTACTTGGGGAGTAAGCCAAGGGGGATTCGGATTTTTCGAGATTTTTTTTGCCAAAGCAATAGGATTTCAAATCATTGAGTTACAAAAGGCTTAATATAGAAAAAAACAGAAAAAAAAAAAACGAAATTTGCATACCAATTAGTAGTTAGTGCAATTAAATTCTGAACTCAAAATGTTATCATTCAATTCAGTTTTAAATTATGGTAAAAAAATCTACTTTTTAAAATAAAACACACTTTTATATATAAAATTATAGACCTTTTTTACTATAGATTTAAATTATTAAATATT